TTTATTGGCTATGCATCTGGCTATAAAGGGTATCGTTGTCTTGAGCCTAAGTTCGGTAAAGTTATTATCAGCCGTCATGTTCGTTTTCTTGAAAATATTTTTCCATATAAATCATTGTTGTCCTCCATACCTGTCTCGACTTCTTCCCCCGATAAGACTGAGTTTCACTTGACCAATACCCTTAGACCATAACTGTCACAACCCATCCATCCCTCTCCTCCACACCAAGCTGGTCCAGCTTCGACCTCGGCTCCAGCCGCTACCTGGCCGGCTGCTACCAGCTCGGCACATCTTCCCACTTCACATTGCCCGCCTTTTCACGCTACCCGACCAGCTGCTACAACCAGCCCCACCCATTCCTCTTTTACTCCTTCGGACCAAACCCCACCCGCCTCTTCACCTTGCCCGAACGCCCAACAGCAAACCCACAGTCACACCGCCACACCGCCATCTCCCAGACCGCATACTTCCATATCTTCCACTCCGATGTCTTCTCATATTTCCTCCAACACGTCCAGCCAGTCCTCTTCTCCTTGTTCCGTTGCATCATCCTCCCCGTTGAATATTCATCCTATGCAAACCCGGGCTAAGTCCGGAGTTTTTAAGCCTAAATCAATTTTTACATTAAACACGGTTGTTAACTCAGCGGATCCAACTTGTTTTTCTGAGGCTCATAAGAGTTTGGTTTGGCGTGAGGCAATGGCTGAAGAATTTAATGCACTTATTTCTAATAATACTTGGGATTTAGTTCCATTTGATGGCACTAAAAATGTGGTTGGGTCTAAATGGATTTATAAAACTAAATTCCATTCGGATGGGTCAATTGAGCGTCATAAAGCTCGCTTGGTTGCACAGGGCTTTAATCAGCAGGCTGGGGTAGATTTTTCTGAAACTTTTAGTCCTGTCGTTAAACCCACCACTGTTCGTATTGTTCTTTCTCTTGCTATATCTTTTGGATGGGTTATGCGTCAGTTAGATGTCAAAAATGCTTTCCTTCATGGCTATCTTACTGAAGAAGTCTATATGCGTCAACCGCGGGGTTTTATTCATCCCCAGTTCCCTCATCATGTGTGTCGTCTGCGCAAGGCTATTTATGGTCTTAAGCAGGCCCCGCGGGCTTGGTTTCATCGTTTCAGTAGTTTTCTGCTTACTCATAATTTTGTATGCAGTAAATCTGATAATTCCTTATTTATCTTTCACCATGGTCAGTCAGTTATTTATTTATTACTATATGTTGATGATATTATTGTGACTGGTAATTCTCCATCTCTTGTGTTTGCCTTTATTCGTCGTATTGCGTCTCATTTTGCTATGAAAGATCTTGGCGACCTCCACTATTTTTTGGGGGTTCAGGCTGTTCGAAACTCTAAAGGAGTATTTTTATCTCAACAAAAATATGTGTCTGATCTTCTTCTCCGTTTTCATCTACACACTCTCAAGTCTGTTCGTACACCTCTTGCCACTCGCACAACTCTCTCCCTCACTGATGGTGAACTTCTTGCAGATGCGACTGAGTATCGAAGTATGGTAGGTGCATTACAGTATTTAACTTTGACTAGGCCTGATATTACTTATGCAGTTCATTTAGTGTCTCAGTTCATGCATGCTCCACGCACTACTCACATGCTTGCTGTCAAGCGCATATTTCGGTATTTACAGGGTACTATTGATCATGGATTATGGCTTCAGGCTTCTACTCACCCCATTCGTCTTTTGGCCTATTCTGATGCTGATTGGGCAGGATGTCCTGATAGTTCTCGCTCTACTTCTGGTTTTGCCATTTTCTTAGGACCGAATCTTATATCATGGAAGTCCAAGAAGCAGCCTACTGTGTCCAAGTCATCCACTGAGACCGAATATCGAGCCATTGCATACACAGTACAGGATACCCTTCACATTCGTTCCATACTGTTTGAGTTGGGTCTACCGGTTCGTATTCCTGTTCAGCTATTCTGTGATAATATATCGGCTTCATATCTGACAGCTAATCCAGTGCAACATGCTCGAAGTAAACATATTCAGATTGACTATCATTTTGTTCGGGAAAGAGTTGCTCATGGTGATTTGGTTGTTCAATATGTTCCTACACATCTCCAACTCGCGGATATTTTTACTAAGAGTTTAGCTAGTCAGCAATTTCATTTTTTAAAAGACAACCTGCGCGTTGTATCTCCCGCACAGCTTGAGGGGGTGTAATAGTTTATATTAATTAGGAATAATTATGTATTTTGGAAACTTCCTTTTATTATAAATATACCTGTCAGGGCTCCTATTAGAGTACGGCTTTCCCATAATTCTCACAACTGTAACCGTCTCATTACCCGTAAAAACAAAACGGGTATGCCCCGCCCCGTACCCGTTACCAGGTCAATACGGTTTTTCCTGTTTTGACTGGGGCGATTTGGTGCGGGTATCCGCCAAATCGGTCATCATTCCTAGTCGCTACTTGTAGTCTCCTCCCGTTTTCCCTCCCCGCATGGTTGTTTTTTGGTGAAGCCGTTGTGAAATTTTCACTCAATAGATTTAGCTCTCCTAAAAAATGTTACGTTTTTTAACCACAAATTGTTTAACACAACAGGAATTTCTAAATCGATTAGTCTAGTACTCTAGTACCATAAGGTATTACTCTCGTTGATGAACCAAGAAGTAGATAGCAAAGCCTCACTTTTTTCCTAAAAGTGTAGAAATGTAGAAACATATACTAATCAAAAGCAACAACCGACCTTAGCTCAGTTGGCAGAGCGGAGGACTGTAGTTGTAGCAGATAATCCTTAGGTCGCTGGTTCGAATCCGGCAGGTCGGATGCTATTTTTTGTTTTCCTAGTGCTTCGCAAAGTGTGTGCGGAGAGTTCTTTTACAGTTTTACAAGACTGTTTTATGAATTTTATCAAAAAAAAAAAAAGACTGTTTTATGAACTTTATATAATAATTTTTAGAAAAAGAATCTCGCAGGCAGGACAATTCACTAATTTTTTTTTAGCATTTCACTAATTTGTTGAATATAACTTATATAAGGTATAATAGATTAGAAAGTTCACCAGAAAAAAAAAAAATTGCAAAAAAAAAAAAAAATTCACTAGAAAAAAAACATTTATGAACTTTGTATGTTTTTGTTGTTTCATTATTAGAGGTTTTTATCATGTACTGATGTGCATATTTTTTAAACATCAATATTATGTTTTGTAAGTGTGAAATATTGGAACAGGTTACTCTAATACGAGTCCTACCACGTGTATTTATAATAATAAAATTAAATGTAAAATACACCAATATCTCTAAAAGAGATATTATTGCACACCATCAAACTGTGTGAGAGATACAACGCATACGTTGTATTTTAAAAAACAGAAATTTTCCTAAATAGGAGTAAAAAACAAAAGGAAAAATTGACAAGAATAATCCCACCTTTCACTGGTCTTCTCATAATAATCCCACCTTTAAATAATCCCAAAATAATCCAACCTTTGCACCTCATCTTCTTTCATTGGACCCTGACCATGTTTTTTACTCTTTCTTTGAAAATTATACAAATAATCTCACCTTTCACTTTTTAAGTATATTCTTATAAATGTGAGATTATTTATATAAGATTTTTAAAAAAGGTAAAAAACTTGGTCAAGGTCCAATGAAAGAAGATGAGGTGCAAATGTGGGATTATTTTGGGATTATTTAAAGGTGGGATTATTATGAGAAGACCAGTGAAATGTGGGATTATTCTTGTCAATTTTTCCAAAACAAAATAGGAGTATCAAATTTTTTATTCCCTGAATAAGAGTAATCTGCCAAGTTTGGAAAAAAATGTCATGTTTAAAGCCTTGTAATGTCAAACTTTACATAAATTTACTCTTATTCACGGAATAAAAAACATGATACTCCTATTTTGGAATTTCAAAACATTTTTACTTCTATTTAGGGAATTCTCTCTTTAAAAAATGAAAATTTTGATTTGAAAGACTGAGTTAAAATATCACAGAACAGCTGCACAAGTTCCTGAACTATATATGCAATAGCACGATACTCCACTTCTGTAGAGGATTTGGATATTATAGACTGCTTTTTGGACTTCCATGACACAATCTTAGGACCCAAAAAAAGAGCATAACCACTAGTGAAACAAAAAGTATCCGGACAACTAGCCCAATCAGCATCTGAGTAGTGGGTTAGAGCCATCACCACAAGAATTTTTTGTCATATAAACATTACTATTTGTCAGTAAAATTATCGTATAACAAACTTTGAGCGTCACTGTGATCATCATCATAACTCCGTGTCAAAAGGTATAATTAACAATTTCTAAAATTCATCACTGTACGTTTATTTTTTGTGACGCCTTATCACTTTGTCATAGTTACTGAACATTTTTGGTGATGTCAAATATGTCACGTTTGTATCAATAGATTTGTCATCGAAGTATAATTTTGGTCACATTTGCTAATCACAATAAACGACAAAATCTTTAAGGCTCAAATTGGACACTATGGTTTCATCAAAATCTCATATTGGACACTAAGGTTTCAAATGGACCAAATTAGACACTATGGTTTCATATGTATCTCATATTGGATACTCAAGTTTCATAATTCAATATAAGTGAGTGTACGATTTGATCTTTATCCAATATAAGTGAGTGTCCAAAAATTATGAATTATAAAACTTTAGTGTCCAATATGAGATATATATGAAACCATAATGTCTAATTTGGTTCATTTGAAACCTTAGTGTCCAATATGAGATTTTGATGAAACCATACTGTCCAATTTGAGCCTTATCCCGATCTTAATTAGTCATTATGGCATACGTAACTTATAGGGACAATTCACATAATACTCCATAAATGAACACATTGTAGTAACAATTGAATGGACAAATATTGACAATTGAATATTTGAGTGTTGTGGTGAAATATTAATTTTAGTGATGAAATAGTTATATCAATTGTCACGATAGGTGTATTATGCCAATATGGAAAAATTTAAAATGAACAACATTTTGTAATGAATATTTTTAATTGATAAATATTAGTAACAAACTGCCCACAATTCAGATTCAAACTCATTCTCATATTCGGATGAAATTTATTGCGCAAAACACTTCACTGGAAGTTTTTAGATGACAAAAACAAAAAACTAAAAAAAAAAAAAGCTTGGTTGTGAAACCAATAGCAGTGATTATAAGGTCATTCCTTGAGTAGTCATAAATGCCATGAGTTTTTCCACATTTATCAGGATCTTGTACTTGAGTCTTAAGCTCACCAACTTGTGATTCAGAAATGTGTAGTTTTTGTTTTGTTTCATGAAGTTGTTTTTGGAGTTGCTCGAATGCTCGGTCATAAAAGAATTAGCATTGTTGCGTCTACTTGTAGGTTTAGGACCATAACCAAGACCTTTAATCTAGTCAGACCCATGTCCAAGAACCTCAAGAACTATCTCATCTGCACTCTTTTCAAATTTTTCTTCTTTGTACGGTTGTTTCTTTTTCATCATCTCCTAGTTGAACATATAAATTTAAGAAGTTAGAGTTAGTCTATTTAAAATAAATAATGCAGGGTAGTATAAGCTAGGATGAAGAGGTAGAAATATACTCAATTTTCTTCTGCCACTTTGGATGACCAACCTTTCTTCTCTGAATAATGAGTGCGTTTATAAAACTCAATCCTATCACAAGAATCCCCACTTAATTCCTGCAGAGACTGTAACACATATTGATTAGCAGAAATAAAAAAGTTTTTAAATAACAACAGTATTTGTGGGGGATGTTTTCCTGCGCAAATTAGGATGATTTCTTGGTGGGGAACAACAGTTGTTTCAGTGTTTGAGTGATTTTTTGGAATGATGTAGTGGATGTTCATACTACTAAAGATCATGGTAAGTGACACAATTCAACCTCTTTACTTCCCTTCATATGATCCAGATCTAGATTCCAGCAAACTTTTTTAGATTGCACACAACTTTAGCTCACTGATTCTACATAGGAAGGACATTAGATGGCCGCAACTTTATTTAGATTGCAATGAACATTAGCGCACTGATTTTACAGAGGAAAGACACCAGATTGCATCAACTTTGTTTAGATTGGAGACAACATTTGCTCAATGAGTTTACAGAGGAAAGATACTAGATTGCAGCAATTTTGTTTAGATTAAATTGAACATTAGCTCACTCAGTTTACGGAGGAGAGACCAGATTTTAGCAACTTTATTTAGATTGCATTCAACATTTGCTCAATGAGTTTAGAGAGGAAAGACACTAGATTGCAACAATTTTGTACGAGAGTTGAGAACTGGCCAGAGTTTTAAGATAAGGTTACAACAGTCACTTGTCATGGGAGTGAAAAATTTCATACAAAATCATATGACTTGGAGTTAATGGCAAAAACACACACCAAGTGAAGATTTTTTTTAATACTACTTACTTTCTAGTTAATACCTAAGAATTTTATTAACTAGAAAAATAGGGAAATTGATAGTACAACATTTATCTAGAAACATCACAAATGTAGTCAAAACAAATTGAAATAGAAAAATATACTCATTATTTCATGTCATCAGACAGTGAAAGGTTTTCTTCTTGAAATGTGTGGAGCTCGCACCAATTTCCTATTTCCTGTGTTCGTGATACCTAATTTCTACAAGCCAAAAGTTAATATATAGATCAAGGTCACTTATAAGTACAATAAAAATAAAACATTTTGGCTAAAATGTTTGAGTTTATCACCTTAAACCTAGGAGATGCAAAATTATCACACAGTAGTTCCCATTTTTCTTGGTTTAGGAAAAGTGGAGGCTTGTTTACTTTAGCTTCTTCCAAAGTTTGAAACTTCTGGTAATGCTTGTGTAGCTTGTAACACTTTTGTCGAATACTGTTTTTTAGCCTTTCAATTACGCTGTCTTTCACACCATGATCATCAAAATTAACATGCATATGCATCTACATATTGTTGGGATCATATTTTAGATCACATAAAAAGTAAAGTTACTCTTTTTTTATAACCGTACCTTAATATGATCGAATCCCGGTTTGAGCCCATTCTCCTGATCAACTTCATTCCACCTTCTTGGATGATCAAATCCAGGTTTAGGCCCATTCTTCTGATCAACTTCATTCCACCTTCTTGGCACAAGAAGTAAATCACGAGTAACTATACCAATTTGACTTGAAGGTTTTGCCGATTCTTCTCCATCTTTTGGTCTTCCGATTGATGGATCCACATTTATCTGCATTTTTGTCTTAGAAGCCCCAAATGCTCTCATAATTCCCTTTCCCATTGTTTGACCACAACCTCTTTTCTTTGGGCGAGAAGCTAGGTAGACAACATGTTTTTAATTCACCATAGTCAGCAATCACCATCTAAACTCAATCACATATTATCTTTTAATAGTGAGATGTGTATCTGCTTCAACAATTCTTTTCTGGTGATGGACGATGGGGACTATCACTAGCTGAACTTTCATGAGTTTCACCTGCATCAGCTATAATGCGTTCATGACTATGGTGTGTTGTAGTTGTTGCACATCTTTTAGAGGACATGTTTTGTGACAATGTCTTCCTTCTTGTATCAAAACCTTCACCATTGATGAAAACGGTTAGCAACACAAGAGGGGGGGTGAATTGTGTGTGTGTGGAACCGTGGCAGTTTTTCGTCGAGTTCTAGTGTGGGATAAAGGGAATTGCAAAATAGTAAAGTGCACAAGAATTTAACGAGGAAAAATCCCTTGGCTCAAAGGGATTAAAAAACCTCGACCTCCCTCGGAGGAATTTTAAACAACTTCACTAAACAAGCCTTTGAAAGAGTTACAAGAGTGATTCTCCTAATCTACCCTTGAGCCTCCCCAACTCTATCCTCTCTAGGAAGAGTTATGCATCTCTACCTTGCGGGTAGAGAGCCTCTCAGCTTTGTCACAAAGCTCTCACACACACTTAACCCGAGGCAGCTACTCTAGCCAATTAAGCCTCAATAGTCCAAGTACAATATGAAAGGGAAAGGAGAAACTCTATCTAGAACTCCGAGCAGGCAGTTTCAGTCGCCAAGGACTTGATCTTTTCTTGAATGATTCTTCTAAGTATTTTTCTCGGTTCAGCACACCTCTTCCATTTTGCTTTCTTGAATATATAGGTTGCTCCGGATGTGTCCGTTGTGACTTCCTTATGCAAGAGAACGATTCTTGCCTTGTTTGGAAGATCCCCTTCTCTTTCTCGATCCTTTCCTTGTTCATAGAGATTAATAATAATTGCTCCAAAGATATTTTATGTATTTATGCAAACGGATCCTTAGCTAGAGAAGGCAACAATTTATGCAAAAGATCTTTTCATTCAAAACATGCAACGGTCATGGAATTATTAAAGCAACTCTAAATGTTTCCTTTCCAAAGTGGGTTTAATCATTTAAGGACTTTCTATTTGGATTATTTTCCAACGAATGAATTTCTAACCAAGGAGTAGTGGTTACCACAGATTTCATTCCATATTTTCAAATAAAGCTTCGTAATTAAAAATAGAATTCAAACGAGTAGTCTTATATGCACATAATTCACATATGTTTATAGACCCGTTCCATCCTTTGTTCCTGCATGGTTAGTCATCAACAAAACAACATATTCAACAAATTCCCCCTTTTTGTTGATGACAAACATTAGGTGCTATAGTAAAGGTGTCCCTAATTTTTCCCCCTTTTGTCATTCAACAAAAGGAATAAAATTAATGCCCAAATTAAAATATCGATTTGTTCCCCCTTAGATGAGGCCGGAAGGTCCTGCATACATTCTTCACAATTAGTAAGAGAGATTAGTTCCAGTGATTCCCATTATTTTAGGAAATAAGAAGTAGAACAACTAATTTAGGAATTAATTAGACCGAGTTCCAGTCTAATTAGTTCAAACCTTTCTCTTCCCAGAGGCTTGGTAAGGATATCAGCTATTTGTTTTTCGGTGTTGCAATATTCCAGCCTGATTAACCCCTTTTCCACGCAATCTCTCAGAAAGTGATGTCGTATATGAATATGTTTTGTCCGAGAATGCATGACCGGGTCCTTTGATATGCTAATTGCACTTGTATTATCGCATAGGTTGGGTGTGCACTTTAAATCAACCCCATAATCACTTACTTGTTGCATGATCCACAATGATTGAGAGCAACAAGATGCGGCTGCTACATACTCAGCTTCGGCTGTTGAAAGAGCAACAGAATTTTGTTTCTTTGAGCTCCAAGAAACTAGACAGGGACCTAGGAAGTGAGCCGTTCCAGATGTGCTTTTTCTATTTAGTAGATCACCTGCAAAATCAGAGTCTGAATATGCAATAAGGTTAAAATCATCATTACGAGGATACCATAAGCATAAATCAGCAGTTCCTTTGAGATATTTGAGGATCCTTTTCACAGCCTTGAGGTGAGATTCTTTGGGATTAGCCTGGAACCGAGCACATAGACCTACGCTGAAAACAATGTCAGGTCTACTGGCAGTGAGGTACAGTAGGGACCCAATTATTCCTCGATACATCTTTTGGTCTATGCTCTTTCCTTGTTCATCCGCATCCAGCCTATCATTTGTTCTCATAGGTGTAGTCATGGTTTTGCCTTCACTCATTCCGTACTTCTTTAGGAGTTCCTTGAGGTACTTTTGTTGAGATATTTGAGTTCCTTTGCTTGATTGCTTGATTTGTAGGCCAAGGAAGAAATTAAGTTCCCCCATCATACTCATCTCAAATTCGGAACTCATAAGAGAAGAAAACTCATCACAAAGAGATTCGTTAGTAGCACCAAAAATAATATCATCAACATAAACTTGAACAACCAATAGGGCTTGATCTTTTATTTTTAGAAACAGAGTTTTATCTATTTTTCCTCTTTCAAAATTGTTTTCCAAAAGAAATTTGGATAGGCGTTCATACCAAGCACGAGGTGCTTGTTTGAGGCCATAAAGTGCTTTATCTAATTTGAAAACATGATTAGGAAAATCTTGATTTTCAAAGCCCGGTGGTTGTTCTACATATACCTCTTCCTTTAGATATCCATTCAAGAAGGCCGTCTTGACATCCATTTGGTGGAGGGTGAAACCCATATGAGCCGCAAATGCTATGAGCATTCGAATTGCTTCTAGTCTTGCCACCGGTGCAAATGTTTCGTTGAAGTCTATTCCTTCTTGTTGGTTATAACCTTTGACAACAAGCCTAGCTTTGTTCCTTGTGATTTGACCATGTTCATCGAGCTTGTTCTTGAATACCCACTTGAGACCTATCACGGTCTTGTTCTTGGGTCTCGGTTCTAGATGCCACACCTTATTTCTTTCAAACTGATTTAGTTCTTCCTGCATAGCTAGAACCCAGTCAGTGTCGGAGAGAGCCACTTCATGGTTCTCCGGTTCTATAAGAGATAAATAAGAAGAGAAAGCACAAAAGTTTTTAAGTTTAGATCTGGTTGTTACTCCCTGATTTAGATCGGTGAGGAGGTTATCCAGCGGATGTGATCTATGAAGCTTCCAACCCCTAGGAGCGTTGGGTTGGTCCACAAGGTTGTTGAGAGTATCTGAAACTGGTTCTACTGGTTCTACAGGTCCAGTGTCAGTGTTCTGTCCAGGTTCTTCTTCAGTTCCAGATTGTTCATTTTCATTTGTTAGAGGTGGTTCACCAGTTTGATTGTCAGTTCCTTCATCTCCTTGAGATTGTGATTTCTTGCGAGTGATCCCTAGCTCACCATCATCGGCTTAGATTGATTTTGGGGCAAGTGCTTCATCAAAGATTACATGAATGCTTTCCTCCACACATTGTGTGCGTTTGTTTAGAACTTTGTAGGCCTTGCTATGTGGGGAATATCCGAGAAAGATTGCCTCGTCACTTCTAGCATCAAATTTGCCGATGTTGTCTTTCCCATTGTTGTGGACGAAACATTTGCACCCAAAAGTTCTTAGATGACTTATGTTGGGCTTCCTCCCCTTGAGCAGTTCGTAGGGTGTTTTCCCTAGGAGTGGACGTATCATGGCTCGATTAATGATGTAGCATGCTGTGTTTAGAGCCTCGGCCCAAAAACTCCTAGCTAGACCGCTGGAAATAAGCATAGTTCTAGTCATGTCCTCTAGAGTTCTATTCTTCCGTTCTACCACTCCGTTCTGTTGTGGGGTTCTAGGGGCAGAGAAGTTGTGGTCTATCCCTCGTTCCTTGCAGAATGCATCGAAGAGTGAGTTGTCAAACTCAGTTCCATGATCCGATCGGATCTTGATTAGTCGTAGACCTGTTTGATGCTCAATTTTCCTTACAAAAATAGCAAACTCATTAAAAGTATCTTTCTTGCTAGCAAGAAAGATAGTCCATGTAAATCTTGAAAAGTCATCAACAATAACCAGAACATATTCTTTGTTTCCTCGGCTACGGACTGACATTGGACCACACAAATCCATGTGTATTAGTTCTATGGGCTTGCTTGTGCTCACCAAATTCTTTGTTTTAAAAGATGATCGAGATTGTTTTCCGGTGGCACAAGCCGAGCAAACATGGTCAAGTGAAAATTTCATATTCGGTAGTCCAATAACTAAATCATTATTTTTAAGTTTATTTATTAATGAAAAACTAGCGTGTCCAAGCCTTTTATGCCATAGCAAAGGATCGTTATCAATAACGCTCAAACAAGTCATACTAATATTAGGCAATGAATCAAGATCTACTTTATATGTATTTTCGAGCCTCTTGCCTTCAAGTATAACTTGTTGTGATTCGTTATTAACAATGCGACAAACGTTATGATCAAAAACAACACTATTACCTCGATCGCAAAATTGAGAAATACTTAGTAAATTAAATTTCAAACCCTTGACTAAAAATACATTATCAATAGCATGGCTAGGTGACTTTCCAACTTTGCCCACGGCTATGATCTCTCCTTTGCCGTTGTCTCCAAATGTCACCTTTCCACCGCTAAATGGCCGTAGTGAGAGGAATAAAGATTTGTCTCCCGTCATGTGCTTAGAACAACCACTGTCAAGGAACCAGTGATTGTTCCCCCTCACTCGGCGCTGTTCCAGGATTAAGGGTTAGCGCGTGGAACCCAGACTTGCTTGGGTTCCATTTTGTAATTGTTTGAGGAATATCTAACATGATCATAGCATCTTTCTAAAGTCTTTTGCCGAGAGTGACATTGATACCGTAGATGACCGATTTTGCCACAATGCATGCAAACCCGGTTGTCATAAGTATCAACGTATTTAGGTTTCCATTTACCATAAAAGCCTCTTGTTCTTTTATGAAAAGTTCGGTTAGGCGTTTGTCCATAACCGTTTTTGTGCCTCTGAACCAGTCTATCGAACCAGTTTGGTCCAGTTCTAGGTGGCTGTTGATATGGTCTAGAACTGGGTTGTCCTCGGGTTCTATTATCCTTAAAGGGTTGGTTCTGAAAATTTGATTTTTGATTAGCTCGAATATCCTTTGGAACATATCCGAGACCTGCAGTCTCGTTTACTTTCTTATTGTGCTGAGAAGGACCAGTTCCAGAATGATGTCTAGACCTGGTTTTGTTCGTTGCACTATAGGATTGATATTCCGGTCTATTTTTAAAATCAGTGCACTCGGCAACAAGACGATGAAGATGATCAATTAAACAACCAACACTCGGTATTTTTGAGAGAAGCTTTTCATCATGATCAACTTGTTTGTTCATACTATCGAGCTTAAGAGAGCAAATAATTTGATCTTGTTCTAGAACCACTTCACTGTACTTAAGCCTTTCATCTATTAACTCTCCCACTTTTGTTTCAAGCCTTATTTTGGCTCTTGTGGCTTCCTCGAGTTTAGACTCAAGCTCAGTGACACGTGATTTAAGATGATCGTTTTCGGAAAGGCTTTCATTAAGCTCAATAGTCAATCTTTTGAAAATCTTCCGAGTTTTGGTTTTGGATAGAGAGTCAAACTTGGATAGAAAATTTTCAAAGTTTACCTCAAAGCTTTCTTGGTCGGATTCCTCGTCGGAGAGTGCCATAAGACATAGACCCGCATGATTGGTGTTCTTATCATTTTCCTCTTCTTCATCATCAGAAGAATCTCCCCATGCTGCCATCATGGCCTTTTTGAGATCTCTCTTGAACCCTTTGTCTTCGCTGAACCTCCGGTTGGAACTGGACTTGTTCTTGTCGCAGTTCCGGTCATTTTTCTTTTGTGAACAGTCTTTAGCCCTGTGCTCAAAGGAACCACAAACAAAACAGCCTTGGTTATTAAAAGATTGAGTGTTCTTTTTACCTTGTTTGATACGGTTGTTCTTGAACTTTCGGTACATCCTCCCAAATTGTTTTGCAAACATGCTCATCTCATCATCCGATTCACTCTCGGATTCCTCTTCTTCTTCTCGAGCCTTTAGAGTTATTCCTCTTTCTCGTCTAGCACTCTCGGCATCTTGTTCTTCTTGAAGACCTAGTTCATATGTCAAGAGTGATCCAGTCAAGTCTTCAAGCGTCATGGTGGATAGATCCTTTGCTTCTTCAATAGCCGTGGTCTTAGGCTTCCACACTTGGGGCAGGCTTCTCAAAATCTTTCTCACTTGATCTTCCACGGTAATTTCTCTTCCAAGGGCTGAAAGCTCATTGATAATGTTAGTAAAGCGTGTAATCATATCCTTAATTGACTCTTTTGGCTTCATTACGAATAATTCGTAATTACGCATGAATATGTCAATCTTAGATTTTTTTACACGTGAGGTTCCCTCATGAGTGACCTCGAGCAAATCCCACATTTGTTTTGCACTCTTGCATCCTAGAACCCGATTGTGTTCGGCAGGACCAAGACCGCAAATTAGATATTTAAGGGCTTGGGCATTATGCTCGAGTTTCTCATAATCTTCTGAAGTATATTCAACTTTAGGTTTAGGAACAACATTACCTTCGGCGTTTCTCTTTGTGATGACATTATCACCACTTTCAATTACATTCCAAACCTGGTAGTTATCGGCCTTGATAAAGTTTTCCATCCGACTCTTCCAAAATTGATAGTATTTGCCATTGAACAATGGTGGTCGTTGAGTCGAGTACCCTTCTTCCAATCGGTCAACCGTATTCATTTTGCCGGATCTCTTCCCAAGGTATTAGCCTCTATGTGGTGAAGACCGGCTCTGATACCAATTGATGAAAACGGTTAGCAACACAAGAGGGGGGGTGAATTGTGTGTGTGTGGAACCGTGGCAGTTTTTCGCCGAGTTCTAGTGTGGGATAAAGGGAATTGCAAAATAGTAAAGTGCACAAGAATTTAACGAGGAAAAATCCCTTGGCTCAAAGGGATTAAAAAACCTCGACCTCCCTCGGAGGAATTTTAAACAACTTCACTAAACAAGCCTTTGAAAGAGTTACAAGAGTGATTCTCCTAATCTACCCTTGAGCCTCCCCAACTCTATCCTCTCTAGGAAGAGTTATGCATCTCTACCTTGCGGGTAGAGAGCCTCTCAGCTTTGTCACAAAGCTCTCACACACACTTAACCCGAGGCAGCTACTCTAGCCAATTAAGCCTCAATAGTCCAAGTACAATATGAAAGGGAAAGGAGAAACTCTATCTAGAACTCCGAGCAGGCAGTTTCAGTCGCCAAGGACTTGATCTTTTCTTGAATGATTCTTCTAAGTATTTTTCTCGGTTCAGCACACCTCTTCCATTTTGCTTTCTTGAATATATAGGTTGCTCCGGATGTGTCCGTTGTGACTTCCTTATGCAAGAGAACGATTCTTGCCTTGTTTGGAAGATCCCCTTCTCTTTCTCGATCCTTTCCTTGTTCATAGAGATTAATAATAATTGCTCCAAAGATATTTTATGTATTTATGCAAACGGATCCTTAGCTAGAGAAGGCAACAATTTATGCAAAAGATCTTTTCATTCAAAACATGCAACGGTCATGGAATTATTAAAGCAACTCTAAATGTTTCCTTTCCAAAGTGGGTTTAATCATTTAAGGACTTTCCATTTGGATTATTTTCCAACGAATGAATTTCTAACCAAGGAGTAGTGGTTACCACAGATTTCATTCCATATTTTCAAATAAAGCTTCGTAATTAAAAATAGAATTCAAACGAGTAGTCTTATATGCACATAATTCACATATGTTTATAGACCCGTTCCATCCTTTGTTCCTGCATGGTTAGTCATCAACAAAACAACATATTCAACAACCATCAAATGGTATTTTTTATTTTTCTAGAAATCCTCGGATTCCATCGAGAGTTACATAATTTGGTGAAGCTTTCTTGGATGCCTGATGTCGAATATTTGGTTAAGACTTGCTTTTCATTTGAAGCTTTTCATTCCGCCACCAATATGGGTGGCCAGTGAAAGCGATGTGACCATAGAAACACCCAAAACAAACTTTTCAATCAGATCATTTTCAGTTAAATCAAGGACCTCTGGGTTAAAGAAAGAACCATTTTCATACGCAGAAATCACAACAAGACCATATGAAAACGGCCTAATCCCGAGCTTTGCCAGAAGGGCAGCCTCAGAAGATCCTACTTTTTCACCCTTCTTGATGAGATCCACGAGGGTCATGATTTCAGTGCTATATGTGTTTGTGTGTGTGTGTGTGCCGTTTTAAAATAAAAAGAGGTGCTACCGTGCAAAGTGTGAACGGTTGCACTTTTCCCTCACCGCGTTGCTTTACTACATGTTTCTATTGCACATTTTTGCGGTGACAAAAAACTTCATTTTATTTAAGAAATTGCCACCGCGTTTTTTTATCAAATGAACTACATTTTTGGCTCATTTTGAACTTTGAGTCATTAGATGTAAAAATCAATGCATGAGATTTATTCTCACTTTGCATGGAAAGACCTATTGGTATTTGAACTCTCTCATAGAGAGGGAGAGAATCGTTTTCACCTTTCTATTATTCGTTTTGGATATTCGCATTACGTATTTATTATATTATGTCATATTATGTTTTCATCAATTAATCAGATAAGTACTGAGAGAAATTGTATTCATTTAAAAGGTTGTTGCAATTAATGGTTATTATTCTAGATCTTTAATGTAGTGAAGGAAAATTGATTGCAATTATTCAGGTTATATGCATGGGTAGTTAAGTAGTTTCAATTAATATCAGTAGCGATTGAATTATATGCACAGAATATCTTTTGAGGCGAGGCCTATAGACTATAGGGACGCACACGCGACCAAGTTTTTGGTCCAAATAATTATTATCCACTGTTTAATTTATTTTTGTAGGTGACTTTAATTTCCCTTCACTAATAGCCCTTTCTTTGGTAATGCTAAAAAGATAGACCAATTAATATAATATTAGATCACTAATAGCCCTTTCTTTTATTATGAAGAGATAGACCAATTAATACTCCGTATAATATTAGAAATGATTCTTAAGTCTTGGGGTTTTCCTTATGATGAAGTGATAAACAAATTAATGTCCCTTTAGCATTTGCTTTATTTTAATCTACATTAATTATTATGATGATTATTCTTTTTGAGGATTATTTAATACTACGTACAAAATTTATGTATTATCTAATATAATAGCATAACATGTATGTATATATATATCACTTTTGATTTGAAGAGTACTACTTTATTTATATATAAAAACAATAGTGATTTTAAAGACTTCTTGCATTTGTTTTTTATCATCTCTTGAATAGTTTTTTTTGTGTAATCATCTCTTGAATTGGTAGTACACTTAAATTTAATTTGAATAAAATATCACGTAATTAATTCTTTAAAAATAATAAATGGTGTCTTAATAGAGAATTCATTCTGCACAATAATTTATTAACATGTCATAAAAAGCAGGTCATCAACCGGTCATGGACCAGTGAATGAAAATGAGGTGCAAAGGTTGGATTATTCATGAATAACGAAAAAGTGGGACTATTAAAAGAAGACCGCTAAAAGGTTGGATTATTAGTTTCCATTTTACCTATATTATATGGATCATGAATTGAACACAGATAATTTAAGGTTGCAGTCAAATTTATTTGAAAAAATCACGATGGACTGCACAATTCCTCATAAAAAGTAAACCTTGATGTTATTGGAATGTAAATATTTGTTGCCGTTTCAGTTGTGTGTGCATTTTTTAACAAAATTTTCTTTATGCACAAAGACATCTTTTTTATATAAACCCATAGGCTCCTAATGACATTGTACATCTGAAAGCCAATGAAATATGGAGTATTTCATTCCTTGGGCGGTAAAATTTATTTCACATTATTATTTTTTTAAGATATTTTCTTTTGGACTATTTTCATTCTCAGACCAGACCAGATCATACTCCGTAATCATAAAATACATAAGGACCAGACATTTGCTAGACCAGACCAAACCAAACTTGTAAATTTCAATCCAAAAAGAAAACCTCTTTAATTTGGGCATATTTTACCCTCTAAAAGCATCTTCATCCATGATTCTTAAATGTTTGGTTTTTCATGTTTTTCTCTTGTCAGGTCATTGCCACATAAATAAAACTAAATCTTACCAATTCTCCTTCAACCATGATCTCTATTCATTTAGTTTTTTTGTGGAGTTTTTTGTTATTTTCAAGGATGTATTTTAGTCATTCCAAATTACTACCTCCGTCCTAATATTGGGACGGGAGGGAGTGATGTTGTATTTAAAACAATACAATTATGTGGTTGATAAAGTGGAATGAATTAAGAATGAATTAGATTCACACAAATGTTACCAAATATGGTATATGAGAAAATAATATAGGTACATCCACAAAATTGAAAAATGGGACAATTATAGGAAGAATAATATATTATAGGGAGTAAAAGATATGGTTACATTAAATGTGTTTATCGAAACTTGAGAATAATCTTGAATAATCTGGGATTCAATATTTGATATCAGATCTTTTATCTAAATAATCTTTCAGAATAATCTTATCTCCTCAATCATAATCTCCGGAAAAGTTTTCCACATCATCAAGATAATACCCAAATTATCTCATGGATGTGGATGTCCTAATTGCTATCAAAACTATATTACTTAGAACCTATTTCGTGACATCTTTTGGCATATCAGCCAACTTTATAATCAAACACGTAACATTTTTTTGGCGCGCTGAATCATGTAATAATAAGAACAAATAAGATTGAATTTACTTTTGTGGCTGTATTAGCTAAATTAGTATAAAGGATCATTTTATCTATTTTTCATATAATTTTTTCTTTATTTTAATAATAAATACTCCTTCCGTCCAGAATTGACTTCCCACTTGAATTTCACACATATTAAGGAAATAAATTTACAATGAGCTAAATTTCACTGTTTTGACACTGTTTTATATTGTTTTACGTTGTTTTGATGTGGATAATTTGTCAAATAAAAAAGTGAAAAGTTAATTTTGGGACCGACCGAAAAGGAGAGTAGGAAGTTAATTTCATGACGAGTGAAGTACATTTAAATGTAATTTTGTCATAAATCAAATCAATCAATACAGTAATTTCAATCAGAACTTCATAAATTTCAACAAAATCAGTCAATTTAAATGTTACGGCTCTTAATTTTATATAAGCACATATTTGTAATTAAGAGTTCGAAAGTTTTTTTGGGAGTCAAGATGCTACAATTAATGTTTTGATACATGTTGATGTCACAGGTGATATTGGGACATAATGTCATGGATTGTACAAGTAATTAATTTGTTAAATTAATTTAATTCCTTGAGATTCGAACTTCTAAATACTGTAATTGACCAATAATTAAGAGGGATTATATACAAAAGAATAACAAAATTTTCTTCTATTCACACAGTGTCATTTCCGTCGCTTTATCATTTACAGCGTGGCAGGATCCCACACCGCGAACAGTGTGGATCTCCGTAACGTTTCCTGTCTTTCCACTTATGGGCCGCGTTCACATGTGACCCAACAAAACCATCAACCGCCCATCCTCCGACCGCGATATAAACCAATCACATCTCGCCAACTCAGCACACGGTATCCAGCAATATGGGACCCAGCCTGGACACATTTTTAAAGACTATTCTGACAGCACTGTAACCCGTGGGATAATCCAGCTGTATCCCATCACCTTTTTTATAGTACAGCACCTCCTTTTAGCTGGTCATTTTAAACCGAATAGATTCCCTCCACGTCACCAGGTAGTCATTCGCTTGACCTACGGTGGGACCGGTGGAGCTTCTCGGTCAACGCAAGTAAGACCTGCCACGTTGCGTCCCCTTCCACCATTGGATCGTTGTAGAGGAGGGCCCGCCGTACGCCGGTGTCCAACAGTCGCCGTTGGATATCGGTAAGGTTGGTCGCCGCGACTTTTTCAAGTATGCGGCCGAGCTTGGGGACGTCCTTTTCCGGCACCGTGACGGAAATTTCCTCCCATGGGACGGCGGCGGGGAAAGGAAGGTCGATGCCGTCGGCGATGATCACCGGCACGCAGCCGAGGACGACGGACTCAACCAAGCGCGGGCTCCACGGTGCCCAGCCAAGCGGACATAAACAGAACGTTGAGCGGAGAATCTCCGACTGGTAACCGGCGAATCTGTGGCGTTTCAGGTAAAACTTCCGGTCGCTGCCGTAGTTTTTCAGAATCGCCGTCCGGACACGCCTGCGTTGAAACGTCAAAGGGTAGGGTTTTTTTTTTTTTGAAAGGAAGGGTAGGGTTAGTTCCGTCATTATAAGCAATCTACAAAGTAAAAACACATTTCTCTTGCAAGAAAATCGGAAAACTTTTACCTGCCGTAAAAACGACCGCTGACGTTCTTGGGACGGACTTCCATTTTTCCCCGGAAAAACGCGAAAATATCTCTCCGGTGATCGGCCGTCGGGTTCGCCGTCAGCGTTTTCCGCACACTTTCCGGTGAAACATACGGCGGGATTACAACGTGCTCAACATCTTGACACGGATGATAATATTTTACCCCAAAAGTTTGCAATATGATTGAGTTTTTCAAAAACGCCGGCACCCCGTCGGCGATGGCTCTGTCCTCCTATAATAAAAGAAGATGATTGATAGAGAAAAGATTTTCTCAAAATAATTCAGAAGGAAACTACTGGGAAAATTTAAAAGGCATACCAGGGTGTGAAAACAGGACCCGAAATCGTGGGAAGCGACGAAGACGTGGTCAGCGCCGCCGCTGCGGTTCCAGAAGGGGTGGTCGGAGGAAACGAGACGGACGGCGGAGGATATCAGAGAGCGGGCGTGACCAATCGCCGGGAACCCGTTGACGGTGCTGAAATTGCAGGAAACGTAAACGGGGACGAAGAAAAAGTCAGCCTCCCACGGGTCAATCGTCCGAACATCACTGCTTTCCAATGCTCTGTGAATCGCCACCTCCGAAGCAAACAAATGGCTGCCGCACCGTTCATTCTTCAACCAATCGACGTTGTATTTCTCCGGCAAGTCGTATACGTATATTTTCAAACCCTTTAGAGCGCCGGAGCTTATTTTACCTTGCTGGGGATTGGAGGATTCTATTACGGCGTTAGAAGCTTTATTAGAGCGGTGGACGACGGTGGTTCTTGAGATGAGGGAGGCGGCGGGCTTGTGGGTGAAGAGAAAAGAGATGAAGAAGTAAAAAGAAAGGGAAAACCAGAGAACCCATTTGAAATATCTATGGCAGAAGAAGATCTTTTCGGGTTTTTGCCTTCCTCCGGCTTTTGGTCTGAATAATCTCATCCTCAGATAAACTCCTTTGCTGGTCTTGCTGTTTGGTCCTCTAACCCCCATAATTTATCACATCTCTGTCCTCCTCTGGAGATGGTGAGAGGTGGTTATCAGAGTTTGGTTTTGGTTTGAAGTAGAAATGAAGGAAACAGGGATAAAGAATGAACGGTCTTTTTTTGGTTGAAAGTTCGTTTTCTCCCTTTTCTCTTTAATAAAATTAAAAGGAAGTTTCTACTTAACTTTGTGTAATTAAGAGTCTTTCAATAGTTATTTTAAATTTAATTTATTCATAATTTAGAAAATTCAATAGTTGATAAGAATATTATAATTTATTCATAATATGTTAATGATAAAAGTAATCATTGCATAAAAATATTACTCATACTACATTTGTTCTCTTATAATTGCAATATTTGATTTTTTGCAGTATTCACGTATTCTATTTTGACTATATTTTGTTTATTAATGTATTGTTAAACTTGTACATTGACAATCGTGAAAGTGGATTGTTGCAATTAAAAAAGATCGAGAGAAGTACTATACAATTCCATGTGCAAATACAAAATTATGTCTGATAAAAATAACGTAACTTATAAAGGGTTATTATTTCAACGGTAACCTTTCCATTGGTATTGATATAAAGAGCTTATTTGGTGACTCTGAAATCGACGGAATCGGTTGATTCTACTCAAAAAGTTATGAAGTTCAAGCTGGAGTGACTGTATTGGTTGATTCTGTTGATTTATGAACAAAAAATTATTATAGAAGCCCAATAGAATGTCAACTAAGGTTGATAAAAATGTTTGGACAACCTGACTGCTATTTTGATCCAACCTTCCAAAAATAGCAGGACTAATTGGGGGAACTTCTTACACCCACTTGGGGTATTCTACCAATCAATTTGACTCAAATAATAAAGGAGGGGGGACAATGCAAGATGATTGTGCGTACATGAAAGGAGAGGGAGTCTCATTGAGACAAAAACTACACCCCCATGACCCCATCACCAAAATTATTTTGGTCGATTGATTAAGTGATACATCTCCCCTATCCTAGCATCATTCGAACCACTCAAAGAGAGAGATAAGCTCTAGTAGAAGCTCCATCAAGGTAATTCAACACAAAAAAAGAGGAAAGGGAATCCAACACAAAAAAGACTAATAGTTGAGGTAAGAATCCAACTAGTATGAATTAACTAGTATTATTTTGTATGATTTTTAAGAAATCATTTGATGGATTAAACATGAAGTTCTACACTTTTAAAAGTGTAGAATAATGTTATAAAATGGTGGTATTTAACTTAGAAGAGTCGTGGAATCGATAGGAGTTGAAACCGCCGGAAATCGCCACTCAAAGGGAGCTGTTCGTAGCTGCAGACCACGAAAGCCGCCCACCTTTTGCAAAAGCCGACCGACCGTCTTTCGTCTGTTGTCCATATTTTCCACTTCTCATCGGTTTAGAACGGGGATTAATCAAAGGGCTTAACAAAGGCAACTATTGCAGCACTTCATAAAGTGAGGATGGCTGACTATATTGCTTATAATCATTGGGTTAATTTCATAAGATTACCTAAGGTGATTAAATGTGATTTTCATGGATTATTAATGATTAATAATGCCTAAATGAAAATATTATTGTCTATGAATAGAAGATGCATGATATACAAATTAATGAGTAAATGGTGTATGATTATGTATTGATGGCATGATGGTTGTATCAACCATGAATTTTTGTGATAAAATATACTTTTACTTCATGTATAGAAATCATGAATGGATAAAAGTGATATTTTTGATATTGAGATTAAATTATATTTGAATTGGAAATTCAATTGAAATGAACTAAATGACTACGAATTGAGAACTTGATTGTTCCAAGGTTAGTCCGACTAGTATCAAGATACTAGTCGGGAAATTATTGTAAGATTATACTAGAAATTAATCTAAATGTTGGATTGTGATACGACCTTAAGTAGTCTTGAGAGATACTTCAAGGTGACTTGATTAATGAATTAGAGTTGTATGAACTCTAGGTGATATTAGGGGTAGGCCTAAGAGGCTGCTCGAAATGAATTAATCCTAGGCATAAGATAATGTTCATGAATTGGAACATGATGTTGAATTAGAGTCGGGCTCTAGGATAACATGGAAATGTAGTTGGGCCGAGCCCTTGCCATGTGACTAAGATTTACATGAAAAGTTAGTTGGACCGAGCCCTTGCCATGAGATTAAGTTTTACATGGAAATTTAGTTGGGCCGAGCCCTTGCCATGTGATTAAGATTTATATGGAAACGTAGTTGGGCCGAGCCCTTGCCATGTAATTAGGATTGCATAGATATGTATTTGGGTCGAGCCCTTGCTATGCAATTATAATGTATTAAATTTCGAGTTAAAGGATTGCATAGAAATGTAGTTGGGCCGAGCCCTTGCTATGCAATTATAATGTGTTGAATTTCGAGATAAAGGATTGCATAGAAGTGTAGTTGGGCCGAGCCCTTGCGATGCAATTATAATGCGTTGAATACTAGAAGTGCCATGACTAATGGTCACGTGAACTAGAGGAAATGTTTTCAAGTGAACATGGGCCTACGGGCCGACTACTTGACTTTATATATAAAGTAAGTATATTTTAAATAGGGTAACTAAGGGTTACGGCCTATAATATAATAACACTCTATTTGAGGGTCTTAGGAATTGAAACATTGATTATACTTAGTATAGTTGTCATTGTACTTTTCAAATGCTTCAAAGTATTGACCTCCCCTTCACGGGGGAGGCCACCTCACAGTTTCAGGTAGAACTTGAAGGTTGCTGCCATCGCTCGTTGCTTCGGGAAGATCCAAGGAGAGAAGACGTGATTCGTGCTTCCTCCGTATCTGTTTCAAAAACAATTACATTAAATGCTCATGGATATTATTTTCTGAATAATTATTTGGGGGCTTGTATGCCCAAGTTTGCCAAGTGTGGCTAGAACACTTGTATTAATGTTTTCGCTGCTTTAAATGGATATTTTACATTATGCTTGTTTATGGATGTACTATGTATGAATGGTATTCAAGACGCCTAGTATAGTATGGATGAGTTGGACTGTGGTTGACTATTCGTACTATACGGCGGGTTGTTGACGTGTCTGGTAGGTCCAGGGCGTGACATCGCTCTCCAGATAGTCTTTTGCTAATCTCCACCGAGAATGCCATCTTGATAAGCATAATGACAAGAAATGACATTTTTCGTATAAAAACATGACATTTTCATAAAAAGTAGCATTTTTGAAAATAATATTGCTAAAAATGACAAGATTTGACAATCCTGTCAAAAAACATGACATTATAATATTGACATTGATAAATAGCAAATATCGGGATACCACTAGTGCAATCTAGAGAGAAGGCAAAGTTATTAAGTAGGAGAGAGAGAGAGAGAGAGAGAGAGAGAGAGAGCAATCATATTAAATGAACAATGGTCAGTCACAATTGTCCAAGGATCTCTTATTTATACTAGTCATAAATGTTAGGTGCATTAAATGCACATACACTTGTAAGCTAATCTATGACAGAAAGCCCCCTTGTAGTGCGGAGACGAGCATGTGGCATAGCATTAAATGCGGTAGTTGAGCATTGAGAAACGTTAGACGGGATGTCTCTTTTGTGTCGCGGCTGAGGGCTTCGCCCTGAGTGCCGAAGGCTGTTTGTCGAAGGCTATGATGGAGTTGTGAATTACGCAGTTCTCTTGTTGAGGTGAATTGTGTCAGGTTATTATAGTTTGTAGCCCTCAGGCTCGGGCCTGAGGGGTGTTTGTACTTAGGCCGTCGTATTTGGGCTGCTATTTTTGGGCCACTACGGTGGTTGGGCTCATTTCAGATAGTGGGAGTATGTGGATCGGGGGGTCCTGGGCCATATACCCATCAGGAGCTTCTCAAGGTAAATGGGAGTAGTTTTGTTGCTTTATCTGAAGGCTACTCTATTGCGCCTTTGATTGTGCTGAATTTGTTGACGTTTTTTCAAAAAAGACCGAGGGGTAGTCCCTCAGTTCCCTACTCCTTTTGGCTGAAGGCAGTTCGGGCTGAAGGGGTGTATGTTTTGGTATTTTTTCTCGAGGGCTTCGTTCATTTGCGCAGTATCTCTGGAGCGACCCAGAGGCGGATTGGGGTAGAGGCGCCTTAGATCGTGAATTGACCATTGATAAGTTACCGTTGAAGGGGTGCCATGAGTTAGATGTTGATAGGGCTGCTGTGGGTGGTGTCTCCTGATTGGGATGATGTGACGGTTCATAATGATGGGCTTCTTACCGGAGGCCCTGTTTTCAAGGCTAACCAGGGTTAGGTTGGCTATAAATACCCTTTATCCGGATTCATTTCTCTCGCGTGATTTTGATTTGTTAATCAAAGCTCTGCCCAAGTTTAGAGATAGAATTATTTAGCCGATTCAAAACAAGTTTTCGATGTCAGCTCTTCCTGTATTCTTATCGTTTTCCGACACTTTGCTTCGTAGACCTTAGATATAGTGATAGCCCTTTTTAGCATCACCTCAGTCAAGAACCCCCGTTCTCGACAGCAAGAACGAGGGTATGTCATCTGGTAGCGATTCGCAAAACATCTCAGCTTTGCCATCGATTGAGCCAGAGACCTGGTGATGTATGTTTTCTCGCACTTAAAATATGTGGAGCAGTATAGGGTATAGACACGAGTGTTGTCTCTACAGGGATGGAAAAAGGGAATCAGATATTAAATAAATTCAGCGATTAAAAGAACTAAAAAAAGTGAATGTGCAAGATTTGATTTTTGAGAAAAATAACGTGAAAATAAAGCTAAATTAAATGTTCTTTCTAATTAATGACGAAAGGGAACATGGATTGTGTTCGGGGGTAACAAGATTTTGGGGTTGATCAACCTTAATCACATGAAAAATATTTAATTGAGCAACGCTGATCAATACTAAGTTTTTACCGCTCTCGTGGCGTAGAGTACAATAATTTAAGGAACCAGGATGATCTCTCATGCGACAAGTTTCTAAATTATTATCAAAACAAGCGAGCATACGGCCCCCTAACCGTTACTAATCTCTTAGCGGATTATTAAGTGTGTGTGAAAGTATCCTAGAATAAATTAGATCTCTCTTAATTTATTCTATGTGCAATTATAATCCTAGCTGCAGTTCTAGGTTACAA